TAGCTTTAATTTAAGGTATATATAAAATTGTCAGTCTTTCCGGAACATTTTGAAAAGTTAAGTTGAAAAAGTTAATTTTTTCTAAAAAAGTTACCATTTTGAAACCCCATCCTTTGGGCGGATAAAGGGTCAAATGTTCACAAAAATATATAAAATGATAGGTAATTATTAATTTATGATAGGAAAAANTAAAAAAAAAAATTATATTGATTCGATCATTTTTAAAAAAGTTATGGCAATTTTAAGTAAAAAAAATGGAAAAAATATCGAAAATTAGCGATTTTTAAATTTGTAATTTTTTGGGGGATTTCCCCGGTTAACGGGAACGAGGGAATTTTTTTCAATTTTTGAGGGTAATGTCTTCGACTAGATACAATTTGTGATCTTTTGACATATTGTTCATCAAAATCGGTCCAGCGAGAGCTGAGATTGAGCGTTCACAGACACAAAAAAAAAATTTAAAAATTAAAAAATTAAAAAATAAAAAAACACATCATAGTAAAAAAAATACCTTCTCAGCTTCGCATCGAAGCTAAAAAAAAAAAACTCTGCACAGTGGGGTCGCGGCATAGTGGAGTCGTGGCATAGTTGGGTCCAGTATAGATGATTTCTGACAGTGATTAAAATCACTATCAAAAAAACGCTTCGATGCAAATCTGTAGATAGTGTTAAAAAAAAAAAAATTGTAAAATTGTAAAATAGCATATTTTTGAATATGGTAGTCATTTGCACATAGAAGATAGGTCGTCGAGACAAATTTTTTTTTTTTCATTTTATAGTATATAACATAACCTTTGATTTGATATATGTTTAAAGGACGCAGTATTTCCGGAACATTTTAAAAAATAAGTTGAAAAAGTTATTTTTTGTAAAAAAGTTACTATTTAAAATCCCCCCAGTGAGCAGAATAAGTATTAGATTTTCAAAAAAAATTATATCAAATGAAAGGGCATTATCTAAGGTTTTAATACAAAAAAATATTATTTTTATTTGTTCATTTTTGAAAAAGTTATGGCAGTTTTAAGTACAAAAAACATCCCGATAAAAGGTGATTTTTATCGCAAACATTACATTTTTTTTTAATTTTCGACAGCCATTTACACATAGAAGATAAAGTGTCGGGACAAATTTGTTTTTTTCATTTTATAGTGTATAACATAACCTTTGATTTGATATATGTTTAAATGACGCAGTATTTCCGGAACATTTTCAAAAATTAAGTTGAAAAAGTTAATTTTTGTAAAAAGTTGCTATTTTAAATCCCCCATGTGAGCAGAATAAGTGTTAGATTTTCCAAAAAAAATGATATCAAATGAAAGGAAATTACCTAAGGTTTCAATATAAAGAAATATTATTTTGATTTATTGATTTTTGAAAAAGTTATGGAAGTTTTAAGAAAAAAAAGTGAAAAAAATGACAAAATTTACCGATTTTTAAATTTTGATATTTCCCCCATTTTCGGGGAACGAGAGAATTTTTTTCAATTTTTAAGGGTAATGTCTCCAAATAGATACGATTTGTGATCTTTTGACGTATCGTTGAAAAAACTCCGTTTGGCGAGAGTTGAGAAAAAGTGGTAACAGTAATGTTTTAAACTTTTTTAACAGTAATTGATTAGTATAATAATGCGACCTCTTGTAGAAGAGTAGAAATACTATTAAGAATTAAAAATGTTGTTACCATTGTGTTACCACATATCGCAGTGATAATAATAGGTAAATCAGAAATTGATAGGTTACAATTACATACATTTCCTCTGCAAATATTTAAAATTATAAATATAAAACTAGAAATATATAAATTAATTAATAAACCAAAATATTAATTTTTTTTAATCCAAAATTTACAGTTTAGTTATTGTCCAAAGGTTTGGGTTTGGTCCGATTTTTAAAAATACAAAAAAAATGAATTAATAAATTTTATTTATTTTATATTTAAAATCGTAAAACGGTAAAAAATCAACGTATTGAATTGATTTTTTTATCATATCTCAAGAATGTCATTAGACGGATCTGATGAAATTTTCAAANTCGACTGGGTGTCTGAGAGGAGGCCTCCGCCACTCCATGAACGCCTCAGTATTTCCACTAAAGCACATACCAGTTAACATCACGCTTCGACTGGGTGTCAGATAGGAGGCCAAGACCCCGGCCACTACAAGAATACCTCAGCGTTTTAATACCTCTATGAGAGGAACATAATTTGTATCTTTTTATATCTACTTGTCTTTACTGTTCTAAACCCTCAGACTCTACAACCCCGATAGAACCTCGTTGCTCCTGAATTGACCAAATCCCTAACATCCAACCTTGGTCAAATAAAATTCCCCATTCACCCGGTTTTTTGCTTTTATTTTTTGTATTACTACAGTAAGCATATGACTATTCATTAGATAGCCAGGCGCTATATCCTCATTTATTTTAATTTATATTGAATTAAGAATATTGCTTCGGTAGACAGCGCAGAAAAACTTACGAAGATAGTTTAGTGTTGAATTTTGTTTTGGTGATCAATGTGCTGCATCTTTAGCCAAATATTCGAATTATTTTTTTTATCTAGTAACAACTGTTCAAATATAAAGGTATCATAAGTTCTCGTCTTTTGACATTTATATTTTATATTCATATTTTACATTTGTATGTAGTTAGTGATGACGTAAGTATCACATAAATAAATATATAATTATTTATATTAGTATTTTCTTATTTCAAAGTCCTACGCTCTCAAACAATTATCAAACGAAGCGAAATATAGTCCCTAACATTAATATTATTGTAAAATATTTTAATAAAATGAATTTAAAAATTGTTGTAATGATTTTTTTAGGTCTTTGTTTTACACCTAATTTTTCTGAATCTAGCAGCTCCGGAGAAAATATAAATACAACTTATCCGGTAATTATCAGTATTTTTTAGATAATACAACGTATAATTTAATATGAAACTACAATTTCATTGAAAATAATGAATTAAAAAATTTTTCTAATTCAATATTTAATTTTATTAATTTAATTGTTCATGAAATCATTTATTCATAAATGACAATGTCAGTATATGTTTAACGTTGATAATGGTAACATTCTTTCCGAAATACATAATCACGATCAGTAATTTTTTGTGGCTTTTGAGCTTAATATTTATAATAATTTTTAAATTAATAATATTTTTGATATAGTTTTAATTTTACTTAATTTATTAGCCACAAATGATCAATTTTTATTATAAAATTATGTTGTATTTATAGTAACTCCAATACAAAGAAGAGATTATATTGATTTTAATATGATGCTTTTGTTATGTTTTCCGTTACTATTTTCAATTTCTAATAGAAAAAAAAACCATAAAAATTATGATTAATAAAATCTACTAATTTCCATATGTTTTAACTTTTAATCTTATTTTTCATATTGATATAACTTTTTGAAAAATGTATGAATCAGCAACAATTTTTGTAAAAATACCATAACATATATTTTTGCATACAAAGCAATTTATTCAACAAAATGTTTAATAATGTTTTGGTAATTATGCGACCTTAAAACTTTTTTTTTTTAATAAAACCCATATTATAATATATGTACATATTTCATAGAAAATAATACATTTATTTTTGCTTTATAAATTTTTTTTCAGAATTCTTCTGACAGTGAACTAATGAATACTTATCGGGTGATTATAATTTATTTTAATTATACCTTGTATTGTTTAAGGTGTAACTGAAATTTCATAGATAATAATAAATTAAAAATTCTTTTGTTATATCAACTATGCACCGTTTACATAATATTTCTTTAATGTAATTTAAACATTTTTTTTAATTTTACTAATTTCTTGTTCACGCAATTATACATTCATAAATGACAAAAAATATTGAATTTATTTTAACTCCTACACAAAGTTGAGAAGATATTGATTTTACAGTTTACTATTTTACTGCTTTTGTGTTTTCCGCTACTTTTTTCAACTATTAATAGAACAAATAAAAAATAATAATAAACACAAATTAATATAATCTCAGTTTCGCATGAAAGTTTTCCCATAAAAAATATAAATAATAAAATCTATTAATTTCTACTAATTTTAATCATCTCAAAAAGGAGGCGATCGAAAAACTCTAATTGTAGATTTTTCCCTGTGGATAGGGAATAAAAGTTGCAGTGGTGCATGTTGTTTGCTGAAGATATAGTGTTAATAGGAGAAAATAGGGAGGAAATTAATCAAAGTCTAGAGGTGTGGAGATCAGCTATAAATTATAGAGTATATAAAGTATGATTTGACAAAGGAAACACGAGGTAGGTGTTGTGTATTGAGTAGTGATAAGCTTTATGATTGTAATATAGTAGTAGTTTCGGTTTACACCCGGATAATATATAACATACGCGCAAGTGTCCAATTATAATGTAAGTTTCATCGATACAGTTTTCTTAAAAATAATTACGGTGTTGATTATTTCACTAAGTAAACCCGCAAAACATTGGTCCTTTGGGCCAAATTGGATGAAAAAAATTATTTATTTTGGGTAGTGCGTTATTCTAGTAAATGCCAACCTCGTAGTAAAGAGCGATCTTGACTTAAAAGTATTAAGTCGAATTTTTGGTTTGAACTCGTGCGTTCAACTCTATTGTGCGTATAAATTTTCAACTTGAATTACTTGAAAAAAAAGGGATTAAGCAATACTAATTAATATAAAATATTAGTATATTTATTTAAATGTGCATATTTTGAATACAGTTGTTTTAATTTAATTGCCTAAAAATACTCGTGCGTAAAATCCATTTTGTACAAAACACCTTTGTTGGTATTGTAAATTATATTGGAACGAAGAGAGCAACAGTGTAGAAGAAATAATAGGCTAACAGGCAATTCCGTTTCGGGCGTATTATTAGCGTGTAAATATACAATGGCTGAATTAGCGAGTCTTATCTCGCAGAGAGTGAAATTGAAAGGCTGTGTTACACGCCTTGCTACTTATATGCAAGACGACAATGCAACCAAAATTGATGTTAATCAGCTTGCACTTTGACTAGAAAAAGTGGTGGATATATGGAACGATTTTGAGGAAGTGCAGGCGCAAGTTGAAGGGTTAACTGATGATCCAGATATTACAATGAAGTATAGAGAAAATTTTGAAGATTTATACTTCATGAACGTTGCTCGTGCTAGGAAAATTTTGGCAACGGGTGATAGCACTTTGGATACCTCTGTGGTGGAAGATAGTCTTCCCGTGGGTGGACGATAGGAGCCACTAGTAGGGCTAATTGAAACAGCGATAAATGAGCACCAATTTCTATACCACAGTTTTCTGGTTCGTATACCGAGTGGTCCGCGTTTGAAAGAATATTCAAAGCAATTGTGCATGAAAACGCGGCCTTATTGGACATACGGCGGTTTTTTACCTGCGATCATTTCTAACTGGAGAGACGGCAAAGGTAATACATAGTTTGAAAACCACTGTGGCGCTATATAAAGTAGCATGGAGTAGGCTAACGGAGCGCTATAACAACCGTTAAGTGCTAATTTAAGTTCACGTGCGCTCTCTGTTTGATTTGGAGCCACTAAAAAGAAAATCGGGTTCTGCGTTACGTGGGTTATCTGACACAATTGTCAATCATATAAATGCGTTAGAAACATTAGGTCAAATGCCCCAGCACTGAGGAGCCATTTTAATACATTTAATTTTATCGAAACTAGACTCAACTACAGTGCGGAAATGGGAAGTTTTTTCCACGGAAAAAGAAGAACCAGAAGTACAGACTCTTTTAAAGTTTTTGGAATCTCGTTTTCGAATTTTAGAGGCTGTTAAAATGGGAAAACAGGAAAAAGAGTTCAAACAGCCTATAGCAAGAAATGAATTTGTTAGGTCTAACGGATTTGCAGTTACGAGCGAACTAAAATGTTTTGTTTGTAAACAAGTGCATACGGTGTATAAATGTCCGACACTTTTAAGTCTAAGTGTGAGAGAGAGAATTAAAAAAATAACTGATTTAAATCTCTGTAAAATTTATTTACGGGTGCATGCAGGCGAACGATGTACACAACGGTGGTGTCCTAAATGTTCGTAATCGTAATATTACATATTACGTGGTAAAATAAGCAAGTTAATGACGTGCCCGTATTGCGCTCATCCCCAGGTGATCAAAGTGAACGTCAAATGGAAAAAAATGTAAACAATAATACACCGTCAACCTCGTCTTTGTTTCATACACGCACGCATCAGGTCAATACATAGATTCTTTTATCAACTGCTACAGTAATAATTTATGATTATCAGCGGCGGCCTCTTTTGTGTTGTGCATTATTAGATAGTTGCTCACAACATAATTTTATGACTGAGTCGGTAGCGCACTCTTTGAGATTAAAGCGCCGAAAAACGTTATGCGTTATCGAAAGCATTATTACCGCTTCGCATACGTCGTCACATATAATTTCGACTACTGTAGAATCACGTGTATCTAAATACTCGCTCTTATTGGATTTTTTTATTTTACATAAATTAACAAGTAATTTGCCAGCTAGATCGATCAGCACTTCTTTATTAAATATACCTAAGGAAACAATACTTGCTGATCCGTCATTTAATAGTCCAAATTGCACTGATTCAATTTTGGACGCCGAAATATTCTTTAATTTGATTAAACATTGTCAAATTAAACCAATGGATAGCACCCCGGTGTTACAAAACACCCATCTCAGATGGTTGATCGCCGATCCGGTTCCAGCAACTGCGTTAGACAAGCAAGAGCGCTGTACAGGGTTTGTATAATAAGTAACCGGACTGACCTCATAAAATTTTTTATTGCTGCAATATTTACAATTTTCTTTCAGAAACTTTCAAAGTAGTCCCCATTGGAGTCGATGACGCGTTGATAGCGGTTTTTCCAGTCCTGGAACGCCCGCTGGAAGTCGGCAACCGGAATGCTGTCTAGAGCCCTCGTCGTAGCGATTTGAACGTTCTCCAGAGTCCCGAAACGCGTTCCCTTCATGTCTCTCTTTATCTTGGGGAACAAAAAAAAGTCGGGTGGTGCCAGATCTGGGCTGTAGGGAGGCTGTGGCCACGTCGTTCTCGATTTTTTGGCCAATTCCTCGGTAACAAGCAGGCAGGTGTGCGACGGCGCGTTGTCGTGATGCAGGATCCATGAATCGGCAATCTCCGGACGGACTCGGCGAACCCGGGCAGTCAGTCGTCGGATCACCCCTTTGTAGAACTCGCCGTTTACTGTTTGTCCTGGCGGTACAAACGAGGATCATTGTTCAAAACATCACGCACTTTCTTCACATTTGCGTCCGTGTGAGTGGAAACTGGACGGCCGATGCGCTGCTCGTCATGGACGTCTTCGCGGCCGTCCCGGAAATTTTTGTGCCACTCAAACACTTGAGTTCTGGATAGGGCATCCTCACCGAAAGCCTCTTGAATCATTTTAAGAGTTTCCGTGGCAGTTTTTTTTAATTTCACACAAAATTTGATGCTAACACGTTGCTCGATCGTTCGCTCCATTTTCACTCCGACGAGGTTTTTCAACATGCACTGCGCTCTCGGGCTATCCTATCTCTCCAAGTGCTTGGAGGCAACTGACTACTGGTCGGCTGGCTTCCCTAGATCCCCCACCACCACCCAAGCACCACAGACCGGCTAGCAGACGCTTTGTTGGCGCGGCGTAGGTACAGTCCGGTTACTTATTACACAAACCCTGTATGTCGGCGGTAACGACAACCGAACTGGCAAAAATTAGTGAGCTTGAAGACCAAATAGCACAGTTTTGGAAACTGGAAGAGGTTCATGCTAAAGCTCCTTATTCATTACAGAAGAAAATGTGTATGAAACATTATAAATTAAATGTTCGTTGCTCAACGAATAGCAGGTTTACAATTGTACTACCATTTAAAGACCCATCTATGCTGGGTAAATCATATCACATGGCCTTGCGTCGACTTTTATCTTTAGAAAGGCGACTTCAGGCTGACCCTCAGCTTAAAGTGTCGTACAAAAAATTTATTGACGAATATATCATGCTAGAGCATGCAGAAAAAGCGCGATCGTCGATAGAAGAAGAGCGTTGTTATGCCTCACCATGCGGTAATTAATGAGCACAGTACGAGTACGCGGTTGCGAGTGGTGTTCGACACAACTGCGAAAACAGACACAAAGGTGAGTTTAAACGAGGTACTACTGAAAGTAGTATTGTGTATAGTGGTATTCAAGAAGAGTTAGTTACTATAATGGCGAGATTCCGTACTCATAAATATGTCCTGGCGGCGTACATTAAAAAAAAAATGTACCGGCAAGTGTGGGTATCGAAATCGCAATGTGATTATCAAAGAATATTATGGCGAGGAGATCCTNAGTGTGGGTATCGAAATCGCAATGTGATTATCAAAGAATATTATGGCGAGAAGATCCTAGCCAGCCTATTAATATTCTTTGCCTCAAGACTATTACCTATGGAGTGATAACCTCTTCGTACTTAGCGGTGGCTTGTTTGGAGAAGCTGGTCGCTAAAGAAATGGAACAGTATCCTGAAGCCTGTCAATCAATATGTTAAGATTTTTATGTTAATGTTTTTTTAGGATGAGTGAACACGAAGAGAGAAGTATGTCAACTACGTGACGATCTAATACCCGTTTTGGGTAAAGCTGGCTTTGTATTGAGTAAGTGGGATAGCAACGAATCTGGTATATTACTAACTAATTTAAAGTATATTGGATATCAACATGATAGTAATACAGTACCACAAAATATAGTAACTAAAATATTAGGTATGTATTGGAACAAAAACAATGATTCATATCAGTACATGATAAAAAAATACAATAAAGATGCTTTAATTGCAAAGCGTTCTATTCTGGCTAAAATAGCGGTAATTTTCGATCCGTTAGGACTAATAAATTCAGTAGTCATCATATTTAAAATTTTAATTCAAAAGTTATGGCAATTAAATATCGGATGCGATAATAAGGTACTCAAAAATATAGAACGCGAGTGGAAAGAAAGCCGTGAAAAATTATGTGTAATAAACACATTATAATACAAAGGCGAGTAGTCGGTGACGACAGTATAAGCGAAATTGTGGTACACTGGTTTGCGAAAGCGTCACTTACGGCGTACGGTGCATGTTTGTTATACAAAACGATGGTCAGTATGTTGTAAATTTAATTTGTTCTAAGTCTCACGTCGCCCCGCTCAAAACTGTGTCACTGCAGCGACTCGAACTGTTAGCAACCGTATTATTAGCACGGTTAGCAAATAAGTATGGGCGCAGTTTACGATTAAATGTCTAGTTATTTTTATTAGTCCGATTCTACAGTGGTACTTTCATGGATAAAATCCCCGTCGGCTTGGTGGAAAACGTTTGTGGCCCACAGAGTAGGAAAAATACACGAGCTCACATCTATTGCATAATGGCATCACGTACGTATTGCTGACAACCCGGCGGATGTGGTCTCACGTGGCATTTACCCACTTTAATTAAAGAATTTAACAATGTGTTAGAGGGGACCCAGTTGGTTAGTTTAGAAAAGTTCTGAGTGGCCCAGGTCAACTTTTGACGAAGATCGTCGAATAGAAATAGCGACAGCAGAGCGCGCAACAACGCAAGTTTTGGTGTCGGCGGTTAATCATAACTTGTCAATTTTAATATTCGTCACTAACAAAATTGCAACGCGTTTTAGCATATTGTTATCGGTTTGTGAATAATGCGTTGGCTAAAATACGTAAAGTAAAGTATCAGTACGGACTTGTGCAGATTGATGAAATTGATAAGGCGAATATATGCATAATAAAAATTATTCAAAAGTGTTACTTTGGTGAAGAAATACATAGTATTTAAAAACTACGTACAATAAAATTAAATTAAATCCGCTCTTAGATAAAAAGGGTGTCCACAGGGTGGGCGGTCATTTACGAAAAGCGGTTCATTTGAGTCCGTTATAGCGTCATCCAGTTATATTGGCGGCTAAGAGTGAATACACGACATTAGTATTTGTTAACGAACATTTAAAACTTATGACATGACTGTTCTCACGCCAGGACATTTTCTCATTGGCGACTCTTTAAATTCATAGCCAGAGCGTGATGAAACCGCTACAACACCAAACCGACTTGCGAAGTAGAGAAAAGTGGTGCAGTTGTCACAGCAGTTATGGGTAATATGATGACGAGATTACCATCAACAGTTGCAAGAGCGATACAAGTGAATGTCGTCTTCTGGTCCTCGACTACAACCAGGATCTGTCGTGGTTATCCGAGGAGACAATGTACCTTTTCTAAAATGGACCCTGGAGAGAGTCAGTGTCACTGAAGGAGCGGATGGTAAGAAAAGGGTTTAAGAATAAGTAGGAGTAAGACAGAGTATATAGAGTACAAGTTTGATAAAGGTGAACACGAAGAAGGTGAAATAAGGAGGCCAGTGACAATAGGAGAGGTGGAAAGATTAAAGTATTTAGGATCAGTTGTGCAAAAGAGCGGTGGTATTGACGAGGATATAAGACACAGGATTAAGTGTTTTAAAGTGATTAAAGTGGAGAGAAGCGTCTGGTGTCTTATACGATAAAAGAATTACAATGAGGCTGAAAGGTAAATTCCACAATACTATAGTGAGACCAGCTATGATGTATGGTTCAGAGTGTTGGGCGGTTTATAAGAAAGTAGAGCAGAGATGAGAATGACAATCGTGAATAAGATGAGAGAAAATAGACTTAGATGATTTGGTCATGTTATGAGGAGAGAAATATCGGAAGCCGTAAAAACAGTTGTAGAATGAATGTTGAAGGAAGAAAAGGTATAGGAAAACCAAAAAAGAGACGGAAAGGTGTTATTGAATGCAATATGAAATATAACAACTGATGTGAGCAAAATTATGGGACCTTAAGACTTTTTTTTTAAATAAAGTCTATATTGTATTATTATTACACAGTTATATTAAAATTATTTTTGTTTTATACATTTTTTTTTAGTATTTATCTCTCGAAGATATAGAAGAATGTAGAGATATATTCAATAAGAATTCTACATCTTGTACTAACATTATAGATGAATTCCTATCATTATTAAGAAAACATAAAAAGGTTAATAAAAAATTAAAACAACAAGTTCAACGACAAATACTCAATGAGCCAAGTAAATATGTATATATTTTATGACAATGATCATAGTTTACTGTGATCATTGTCACTTGTTACATAAATTAAANTTCTCAGCTCTCACAGAACCGATTTCTTTCAATGATACGTCAAAAGATCACAAATTGTATCTAGTCGAAGTCATTATCCTCAAAAATTGAAAAAAAATTCCCTCGTTCCCCGTAAATGGGGGAAACCTCCAAAATATTACAAATTTACAAAATCGCTAATTTTCGAAATTTTTTCAAGTTTTTTTATTTAAAATTGCCATAACTTTTTTAAAAATGAACATATCAACATAACTTTCTTTTATAGAGATGCATGATGTCATTACGTTTCATTTGGTATATTTTTTTATAAATCTGACCCTAGACCTGCCCACAGGGGGGATTTAAAATGACAACTTTTTCACAAAAAATTAATTTTTACAACATGACTTTTGAAAATGTTCCGGAGAGTTTTCTTACTTTATTTTATCTTCAATGTGAAATTGGCTACCAAATGCTATTTTTGTGTGAAAATTCTCGATTTTATTTTTTTAATTTTAACTTTATAATGCTATAACTTATTGAAAAATGTATTGATCAACATAATTTTTTGATGAGAAATAATATTTTTTAATAATCCCTTTTTCATTCGACAAACTTTATCTGAATCAGAATATTAATAACGAACTAGCAGATCATGTTGCTTTTGGGATAATCCACCAACTTTTTAAAATTAAACACTATCTAAAGATTTGCATCGAAGCGTTTTTTTTTATGGTGATTTTAATCACTGTCAGATATCATAATACTTGATCCAACTATGCCACGTCACCACTGTGCCGTGACCCCCTCTGCTGGGTTTTAATTAATCTCATTGTTTCTGAAATAATTTATTCATAAATGACAATGTCAGTATGTGTTCAGCGTTTATAATGTTAACTTTGTTTTCGTAATACGTATCCACAACTTTTCAGTAATTTTTTGTGGCTTTTGAGCTTAATAGTTTTAATATTTTTTAAATTAATAATATTTTTAATATAGTTTTAATTTTAAAGATTATGATACTCCTAATACTTATAAATTGTCATATTTTTATCTAAAACAATACTTAGTTATTCTATTGAGTACTCCTATAGAATTTAAATTAATCCCATTACATAAAATATTAAATAATAATTCATTAAATTAATATAATTGGTCTTTAGGTGGCAAATATTTTAATATAACGGATATGTATTATTATTTAAATCTTCACATTCAAACAAAATGTTATTCTTCTACTACATCATCTTCTACGTTTTCTTTATCAAAAGTATTTTCATGCAGCAGTTCAAAAAACACAATAGATTAAAAACTATTATTAAGACAGCAAGTAACTCAAAGACAACTTGAAATAACTTAAATTTTTTTCTTTTTAATTAAACTAAATATAAAATATTGTAATTATAAATTAAATTAAAAAATTATAAAATTGAGTTTTGTATAAAAGAATAAAAGAATAAAATTTAAAAATTAAAACAAATATATTATTATTAATCAATACTGCCGCACAAGCAACATCACCTGACCTCACACATACCACCAAGCACCTTTGTGCAGCGCTCACGCTTGGCGCGAACAGTCACCAGGCCAGTTAGATTAGTAAGCTATTGAGTAGTTATACATTTATTTATTTCAAACAAAGAATTATTTATTTAATTTATTATTTCTATAACTATTAATGAAAAAAGAGAGTTTAGTATTTGTTGAGCATTTCATAGTTTCTTTATTGTTGAATTTATAAAGTTTATATTAGCTTCGATGTGAAACTGAGAAAGTATTAATTTTACCATAATGTGTTTTTTTTGTGTCTGTTGCCACATTTCTCAGCTCTCATTAAACCGATTTCTTTCAACGATACATAAAAAGATCACAAATTGTATCTAGTCGAACACTTTACCCTCAAAAGTTGAAAAATTTTCCCTCGTTTCCCGTAAATAGGGGAAATTTCCAAAAAAATTACAATTTTTCAAATCGGTAAATTTCGTCATATTTTTAATTTTTTTTCTTAAAACTACCATAACTTTTTTAAAAATTAACAAAAAAACCTAATTTTTAAGTTGTGGTAGTAAATTCATCTTTATTTATTATAAGCTTTCACTTTAAAGGACGCAAAAAAGTAGGTTAAAAATTACTACTTTTGACATATTAAAAATAAAAATCAATAATAATTTGAAAAGTATTAATTAGAAAAATTATATAATATATATAATTAAAAATATGTAGCTTTTGTAATTATCCACCAATTTCTTAGAATTAAACATATCTATAGATTTGCATCAAAGCATTTCCAATGGTAGTGATTTTAATCCTTCTCAGATTAAATCTATACTTGACCCAACTATGCCGAGATTCTCCCGTGCTGGGTTTTTTAGTAAAGTAAATCATTAAAATTAATTCAGTTCTGTATATTTTAATTGTAGAATCTTTCTAAACATCAAAAGTTAATTTATTTTATTTTGCATATGACATCTATAATATCCTGACTTACACTATAAAGCAACAAAATAAAATATTAAGTATATAAATGGGATTTTTTAATAAATATATATAAATGAATAAATAAAACGTAACAAGGTAACTACAGCTATATCAAGTGTTTAAAGGGATGACAGATTCCAAATGAAATATTACTCATATAATATATATGTGTCTTCAAAAACGTATCTCCAGGTTATTTATCCATGCTATTGCATCCTATTCAGCATTGTGTAGTCTTGCTATACCCCCATTAAACTTAGTCTTAGGGCACTTTTCAAAGATATGTTGAATGGTTTGTTCTGCTCCGCACTTACACAAGAGAGAATTGGTCATAATCTATTTGTAAAGGAGGAGATGCTGTACCTTCTTGAGGTCTCCACTGTAAGTAGTGTTTCTATAGTCAATGGATCCTTGGTTCACTCATTTTAAATGAAAGAAGCACGAAACAAAACAGCATCAACCTGACAGCCAAACGTCCTTGCACCTCCTGGCTATATCGACAAAAAAAGCCCTCTTAAAGGCTATTCTTCCAATAACAACTGCAGAATACATGCAAGCTTGTTCAAAATTACAAAAGTTAATTATAAATAATTACTATGATTTATATTTAAGTGCTCTATTACAATAAAAATGCAAAAAAAAAAGAAAAAAATCTCTTCTGTTTAATTTATATTAATAATAATTATAAAATTTGTTGACTGCATATTAATCTTAACAATTTTATTTTTTTATTTTTAATGATCAATCTTGTAAGTTGAGCTAAAAGTTATGACAATAAATTCAAATTTTTTTGTTATAAACTTTCACAAAAAAGTAGGTTAAAAATTATTACTTTTAACATATTAAAAATCAAAATCAATTGTAATTTGAAAACAATCATATAAATTATATAATATATAATTAAAAAATTATATATTATATTTTTGAATCTAAGAATTATTAATTTGGATATAATTAAGGAAATTGAAGTTGGTTTTGTAGTTATCCACCAATTTCTTAAAATTAAACATTATCTACAGACTTGCATCGAAGCGTTTCTTATGATAGTGATTTTAATCACTGTCAGATTAAATCTATACTGGACACAACAATGCCATGTACATAGTTTACCGCGATATATTAGTGATTTTATATTGACGATTTTTGACAGCCGTCGTAAAAATTGTTGTCAAAAAAAGTATGAGAAATCCTGAACAAAACTTATGCGGATTGTTCCATCTCGGATGTACGCGGAGACAACAGAAAGTAGTTAAAAACGGAGAAAACCTAAGGAATAAAGTGTTTGATACCAGCCGGACAACTTGTGTGGTAGCTGTTTCACCAATCATGTGTAGGGACATCACCACTTAACTCTAGGCTAGACTCATATATGAGGGAGGAAAAAAAGATAGATACAAAATAAGAATAGGTACTTGGAATGTTGGAACATTAACTGGTACAAATAGGGAATTAGTAGAAGTATTGAAGAGGAGAAAGATTAACATTTGTTGTTGTGCTGGAAACTAAGTGGAAGAGAGAGAAAACAAGGAACATAGGAGAGGGTTATAAAATAATATACTTAGGTAAGTCTAGTACAAAGAATGATCTAGGAATAATAATAGATGAGGAGATAAAAAGTAAAGTAGTAGAAGTAGCTAGGAAAAGTGACAGAATTATAGTCATAAAATTGATATTCAAGGAAAAAGGACTGAATGTAATAAGTACCTATGCACCACAATTAGGATGTGATGAAATAGATAAGGAAGTATTCTGAAGAGATATGGATGAAGTAATGCAAGGAGTACCTGGCAATAAGAATGAGGTGATAGATGGAGATATGAATGGACATGTAGGTAATGAGAGGAGAGGATATGAAAGAGTACATAGAGGGTATGGTTTTAGTGGGAAGAATGAGGCTGGAGAAAGAATACTGGATTTCGCAGTATTGTATGATCTTGCTGTGGTTATTACTTATTTTAGAAAGAGGGAAGAACATTACATAACCTATAAGAGTGGGAGGAATAGATCACAGATTGATAATTTTATGTGGACGAGTAAAGTAGTAAGTTAAGCGAGTAAAGTATTATAAAGTTATACCAGGCGAGAGTGTAACTACACAACATAGACTGATGGTAATGGAGTTTTGGTGTACCGGTAAAAGAATATACAAAAACAGAAGGAACATGGGAGAAAAATCGAATATACCTTCGGTTCTATTTGTCGTAACTGTGCGGAGTTTAATAATCCAAATTGTTTAAAAGTACTTTATTATTCTTTGGTTCGTTCTATTTTAGAATATGGGTCTATAATTTGAACCCGCACCAATCCACCATAATACTTAAAATTGAACGTAGCAAAACAGGCTTCTTTGCGTTTTAGCATACAAAACCAATAAAATAGATGCTTCTCTTGAACAGCTAGCCACTGATTTTAATATTGAGTCACTTGAAAAGACGAGAAAATATAATAATATACTTTGGTCATACATGTATATATATTTTTTGTATTTTGACTTTTTTTTCTAGTGCCAATTTAAATAATACTGGAGACATTGCGTTTCCTTGTCTTAACCGTGTTTAAATTCAAAAGTTTCAGATATTGTTCCCATATAATGCACTTGTCACATCGTATTTTCATTGCAGCTTTTGATTAATCTTAAAAGTTTTGAGGGGATTCCAAAATTTATAAGAATCAACCAAAGTTGATCTCTGTTAATACAGTCATAAGCCTGTTTAATATCAATAAATATCAATTATCACAAAAAAAACTACATAGTAAAATAATATTAGCATAAACATGAAATTTCTTCTTACGACGGAAGACTACAGTGATAGTATCATTAATATTTATTGAATTTAAATGAGACAAAAATAAAATAATTTGAACAATTTTTTAAATTCACAGTATTTTCGGAACATTTTCAAAAGTTAAGTTGAAAAAGTTCAAATTTTTATACGTATGTTGTGAACGCCCCATGTATAAAGGGAAATTATCCAATTTAAATAAAAGGTATGTCAAATAAAAGAGGTAAACATAATGTGTTTATAAAAAAAAAAAAAGTATTGATCCATACTTTCGATAGGATTATTAAATATTTTAACAGCTATTACATCTGACCAGATCTGGTACCGATTTTGTACTTTATGTCGCAAGGCGACAATATACGAATGTGAAGCTACCAATTTTAGATCCACCGACTTCTTATTACTAACATATTTCGGTTATCAATTAATTATACAATAAAACGCTTTTTCCTACCACTAGTTGCAGCCACATAATAACAAAAAGCATGTATTAAACCAATTCAGTGGTCGTACACACAATAACTATCTGACGCCTGGTGTGAGCATACATACACTTACTATCATATACACCACCGTACCAACTCGAAAAATTGATGGGAACCACTACATTTCTCCACTCAGTAATTAATACAATGTCGAGTAAAATTTAATTAGCTTTTTAATAGTATAATCAAATTGTTTAACTTAGCACCAATTAGGTGGCGCGCTCTAGCCGCAACTTTTGCACCTACTCGCAGTTCAACCTACATGGCTGAAATGCACTGATTCTCCCTTCCATTCATTGCCCTTGTCATATTAGTTTAAGTCAAATTGTTTTGGAAAAAGATATATATATGTTAACTTGGTGTTCAATGTGTCTGTAATATTATTTTGTTAAGTTTTATTTTAAGAACAGATATTTTTAATTAAGATTCCTATCTTCATTTTGTGGAATTATTCTACAAAGTAAATTTTCGGTGATAGTGAACTGTTCAGTTTAGTTTTTGTGTATTAGTATGTTCTAAGTATTGTTCCAGGTGCCTGTCGCAGTTGAGCAGTGCACACAATTCTTTTACTGTTCTGCTAGTTTCTTTATTTGATATGTATTATTGTTAAATAATTATTGGAATATTTTTGTAAGCATAAACCATACGATGAATAAAATAAAATTACGCCTTTTAGAAAAGCTTGATACAAAAACCTTACGATACACTTGGTTACTCGACTATATTTTGACAATATTAAATATTAAACCCAACCAACAAATTTTTTAGGTTTTGCTCTTTACTATTAAAATTTGCCTCTATTTTTTTATTGCCCCTCCTTGCAATCCCTTAAAACAGCCCTGTATAGAGAATGTATGATTAAAGTGCACATTGTAGAAGATAATTAAAAATGTTTATGATGTTTAAATAGTTAAATTTCAAGTTACATTATTATTTGTTATACTACACAAAAAAATTATTTAATAAAATTAAAAGAAAAAAATTATTTACAAATATTTAATGATAAAAAATGTTAAAATTTAAAATGATTTGTATTTGTATTCTTTTGAGTTGTCATTTTATAACAAATGCAACATTATATTATAAGAAACATGCATAGTTGAATTCAGATAAAATCTAGCTCCCTGTCTTTTAAAAGCCCCTTGATAATCTTAGGGACACAATGGTAATATTAATATATATATATCATTATCATAGTTATAAAATAGTATTAGCGATTTTCGAAAATTGACGCGATGTTCAGTTTAATATTGAGTTAAAAGCCATTTATTTTTTTTTTTTACAATATGACAAAACATTTTAATTCAACAATAGCAACATAGTACAAACTGTACCGATTAACATTCAATTTGTTTAATTCGATCATACTAGTTTCACAGATTATTCAATTATTTACGGTTTAAAATGTTTCTAAATGTATATTTATATGTTATATTCAAGACACGTTGAACCTCAGTGGGGTTGATCTACACAGTAATTTGTAACTTAAGCAATGTTATTTTGTTCGGCTGATCTGAGCATACATTTTCATAAAGTCTAAAATAGTTTTGTGCGAAACATATATGTCAACGACAGAAATTGTTTAAAAAAATCGTACTGTAATAAAACATGTTTTATAAATATATAACATCAGGGTAGTGATAGACTTGTTGTCGTCTCAATGTTGTACTAGTAAGAATTCGCTAGTAAGTAATCCATACAAAATGCAATGTAAATATATCCTTGTAAATAACGAATTATTAATTAATCGTATCAATCTACAGGTAAAAAAGTTATCGACGTTTTGAATTAGTTTTGTCTTTAATTTATTCATTTTAATTTGTTATTGCGTATCTAGTATTCGGGCGAACACCACACAATATGTATTGTATATACAGGGTGATTTTTTTATCATAACCCACTCAATTACTTGAAGAATAATAATAATTTAAACATTTTTTTTTTTATCATCTTTAGTTACACATTATTCTTGAATTTTTAACTATGTAATACTTTTTAAGTTCATCCTTTATGCCTTNCATTTGAATTTTTAATATAACTTTATTAGCTTATTAGATATAAACATTTAAAGTTTCAAAATTTTGAGTTAATATTCATGTATAACACACATGGGATTGTAAATACAGGTAGCTTATTGGATTTTTATGCTNAGCTAATTGGATTTTTATGACATTGCTGTCTCAGTCACGGATTGTTTATTATCAATTATGATTATCATTAGATATACTTTCTGTATTGTCAGTTAGTGTATTTATAAACTCATAACAATGTGCCTTACTACAATTGATAGTAACAATAGTGTACCTGTTAATATCGCTGTTATAAAAAACCAATTAGCTACCTATATTTGTAATCCCTTGTGTATTATACCTGTATATTAATTCAAAAATTTTAAACTTTAAATGATTATATCTAATAAACGAATTAAGTTATATTAAAAATTCAAATGCCATTTACTATTAAATTAAAAACTCAAACATTTTATTAAATTAAAAATATGTGTTACCATTTAAAAAAACAAAGTTGACCCCCTTCCAAGGCATAAGGGATGAACTTAAAAAGTATTACATAGTTAAAAATTCAAGAATAATGTGTAACTAAAGATAATGAAAAAAAAAAATGTTTAAATTATAATTATTCTGCAAGTAATTGAGTGGGTTATGATAAAAAAATCACCTGTATATATATATTTATTAACTTCAAATACACTTTTATACAACAGGTTATATTTCTACCCCTCGTTAGTACAATACGAGTTAAAATTTACAATATAACCGCAAAACAACAAACAAAATAAAAAACGAAAGGCAAAAGAAAGAAAAAAAACACGCCACTACAAATCCAGGCTAACGTCGGAAACGGAACAGAACGCATATTAGTAATACCTATTCGGCGGCGGCCTTGTCAAGGTGTTAATGGCGGGGACACCCGATGACAACCGATTGTCATATTAATAGGAGGTGGACGACTGATATCGTTTGAGACGCGGGTGGCGCCAGCCTAGTGCGTAGTGCGGTGCCTCGTCAATATTATATTATGATAGAATATCTTTGTAAGCATATGACTATTGAATGGATAGCTAGTCGCTATATTATCATTTAATTTAATTTATTTTTAATTAAGCATATTGCTTCGGTAGACAGTGTAGAAAAACTTACGAAGATGTATTTAGTGTTGAATTTTTGTTTTAGTGATTATTGTGTTGCATCCTTTAGCGCCGGAATACATTGGGCCAACACTATATGGTCCGAATAAATATTAACAAACATAAATATTTTTAAATCCTGTTTTGGTCAAGCCAGAAAACTTTAAAAATATTGGTACGGATCTCTCAATAAAATATACTTTCTTAAACAAAAAATATATTTATTTAACAGAGATAAAAAAAGGATACATTATAATAGTTATATTTCTGATAAAAAGTATAGTTGTATTGACTATATGACGTGTAATGTGAAATGATGGAACTGATCAACTAGATAAGTGAGATAATATCTATACATGTTCCAATTATACCATGACACCACTGTGCTTATTTTTTTATTTCTTCGGTGTAACAGAGTATTTGGGTCACTGAAAATTATTTAATAAATACAATTTTCTAAAAAAATGTAGATAAAAATTTGGATTTTTTCATTTTATTTAGTATCAACTGTTTAAATATATAGGTATCATAAGTTCTCGTCTTTTGACTTTTGTATAAAGTTAGTAGTGACGTAAGCGTCACACAATTAAATATATAATTATATTATATATGTATTTTCTTATTTTAAAGTCAAGCACTCTCAAACGTTTACCAAACGAAGCAAAATTTATACAGTCCATAGCATTAATATTATTGTAACATATTTTAATAAAATGAATTCACATATTATTGTAATAATTTTTTTAAGTCTTTGTTTTGCATCTAATTTTTCTGAATGTAGTAGCTCTGGAAAAAATATTATAAACTCAACTTTTCCGGTAATTATCCTTATTTTTTAAATTATACGATGTATTATTTAAGGTGAAACTACAAATTTATAGAAAATAATAAATTAAATATTTGTTGTAATACAATGTACCTATACATAAATTTTATTTAATATAATTTNTATATATATATATAACAAATTTTTATTGTGATTGATACGGTCCCGCGTCGTTTCATTATACACAATGCCCCACGACTCGTGCCACCTTTATCAGCCGTCGCCCTATTATGAGTATTTGACTGACCAACACCTCGCGTTATACGCCGCTGTGCAAAGTCCAGCAAGCGCCGCACGCCCGACGACATCCCGCCGCAAATGATACCGTAGTCTTCTTCCCGTTGTCAAAGTGACACCGTCTACGATTCGATCCGCACTCGCGCACCGTCGCTATCAACGCTGCTAACCTGTTGACGCCCTAGGAACACGCCGGACAACGCGTCGTCGATGCCAGCGAAAGTGCCGCGATATTATGCAAAGATTATTTTATTATTATGTTCATCTATTCGGTTTGTTTTATTAACACGCTTATATTAGNTGATTTTGTTATATTTTCTGTTACTTTATACTACTTCTAATAGAATAAAACCCATAAAAATACGATTATCAAAATCTACAAATATCAATAAGTTTTTACATACTATACTATCATATTAGACTGATTATTGCATTATAAATTATTTTTTTCAGAATTTATCAGAGATAGAAGAAATACAGGAATCTAGCAGCTCCGGAGAATATATTGTAAAACCAACTTATCCGATAATTATTATTTTAATTTTACTGCTTTTGTGTTTTCCTCTACTTTTTTAACACGCTTTTATTGGTTTCACGTGTATGTTTGTTGTTTGTAGTTTGTAACTTTCCACGCGCACGCGCACGAGACTAGACGGTCGTAACGCATTCACCCCACCCCGCTCTCCAGTCGTCGAAAATAATATTTTCCAACCCGTAGACGCGAGCGTGTCATCAATTATATATAAATGTAAATAAATTTTTATTGAGACACGGCACCGTCACTCGTGCTACCTTTATCAGCCGCCGCCATACTATTAGTATAAGTGATCATACGCCACGGTGTAAAGTCCAGCAAGTGCCGCACGGCCGATGATGACCCGCCGTAAATGATACGATGAGTCTTCTTCCCGTTGTTAAAGTGGTAACGTCGATGATGTACGCCACCGGCTCCTGATGTGCCGCACGATCGAACCGATCCGCGTATCGTCGCCATTAACGCTACTAACTTTTCGACGCCCGAGAATCTTGCCGGAAACCGCTTACGAAAGTGCCGCGATATTTTACGAAGATTATTTTAATTTTAATTTAATAAATTCGTATAATATATATATATATAGCGTTATAATTTTTTTTTTTAATTTCTTCAATATATTAACATACGAATAAAATAATCTATAAAATCGAATTAATTTCTAAATAATTCATATTAATGAATATTTGTTTTTACTACAATTCTATTGTACAAATAAGAACAACACGAATAAAAAAAAATTAAGTTCTATATAACTGCGTTTTGAGTTTTGTATTTAAACATTTTTGTGTTTATTTAAAGCACCAAGGTTTTTAGAAGTTTAATAAATTCTATTGACATATTAGTCATGAACTTTTTTACCCACATTTTTGTAGTCCCAACTAATAAGCCGTTATTTTTGGGAAACAAAGTAATCATGAATAATTACGCGAGTTTTTTCCAAATAAATATTTCAGTATGGGGCCAAAGCTCAATATTTACGCTAACCTGAACGCGTGCTGCTTTCCTTGGATGTGGTAGCCGTTTCTCAGCTCCTTCCATGGAATCGAACCCTGATTTCCCGTTACCCATTACAACCATGATATTGATAGTAACTACTATCATAACATGAAACTAAAAAGTGAAAAATAAATATAGTTAAAAAAAACTAAAAAAACACGCTCCTTAAGTACATTGAACTAAAAAGTTAAAAATAATTTTTAACTTTTTAGTTCAATGTACTTAAAGAGCGTATTTTTTTAGTTTTTTTAAACTATATTTATTCAATTATTAATAGAACAAAAAAATAATAATAATATACACATCATGATAAAATAAATACCACCTCAGTTTTGCATGAAAGCTAAAAAACCCATAAAAATTATGAATAATAAAATCTACTAATTTCAAAAAGTTTTTAATTTTTAACTTAAATCGGAATAACTTTTTGAAAAATGTGTGAATCACAGGAACAATTTTTATAAAAATATCATATGCATATATTTTTTTTAAATATTTGCATACAAAGCGATTTATTTGACAAAATTTTCAGTAATGATTTGGAAATTATGGCACCTTAAAACTTTTTTTTAAATAAAGACCATATTGTACTATACTATCATATTAAAATGATTTTTGCTTTATAAATACTTTTTTCAGGCTGTATCAGAGATAGAAGAAATAGAGGAATCTAGCAGCTCCAGAGTAAATATTATAAAACCAACTTTTCGGGTAATTTTTATTTATTTTAATTATAAGTTGTATTATTTAAGGTTATCCCTGTGGATAGGAGATAAGAATACTTCCACGGCTTCTCTGTCAGTCATAAGAGGCGAATATAAGGTTGCGTCAGGTCGACAGCCGGCGTAAAATTTTTGTCAAATAGTATGAGGTGATCTGAACAAAATTTAAGTGATTTGTCCCATCTTGAATGTACGCGAGAACAACAGGTGAGAGGGAATAAAGTATTTAAAAACAAAGAAGGCCTAAGGAATAGTGATTGATACCAGCCGGACAACTTGTGCGGTAACTATTTCACCAGTCATGTGTACAGGTCTATCCAACGATTGTAAAATCAATGGTGTAGGGACATTACTAACTCTAGGCTGGACTCGTGTATAAGGGAGAAAGATAGATACAAAATAAGAGGAGAAAAGTTAACATTTGCCGTGTGCAGGAAATTAAGTGGAAGAAAGAAAACAAGGGAAATAGGTGAGGGTTATAAAATAATATACTCAGGTAAGTGTAGTACAAAGAATGTCGTAGGAATAATAATAGATGAGAAGATGAAAAGTAAAGTAATAGAAGTAGCTAGGAAAAGTGATAGAATTATAGTTGTAAAATTAATATTCCAGGAAAAAGTGTTGAATGTAATAAGTGCCTATGCACCACAAGTAGGATGTGATGAAATTGATAAGGAAGTATTTTGGAGAGATATGGATGAGGTGATGCAAGGGGTACCTGGCAATAAGAATGAGGTGATAGATCGAGATATGAATGGACATGTAGGTAATGAGAGGAGAGGATATGAAAGAGTACATAGAGGGTATGGTTTTAGTGGGAAGAATGAGGCTGGAGAAAGAATACTGGATTTCGCAGTATTGTATGATCTTGCTGTGGTTAATACTTATTTTAGAAAGAGGGAAGAACATTATATAACCTATAAGAGTGGGAGGAATAGATCACAGATTGATAATTTTATGTGAACGAGAGAGAGCGTAAAGCGAGTAAAGTATTATAAAGTTATACCAGGCGAGAGTGTAACTACACAGCATAGACTGATGGTAATGGAGTTTTGGTGTACCGATAAAAGAATATACAAAAACAGAAGGAACATGGGAGAAAAATCGAATATACCTCAGGTTCTATTTGTCGTAACTGTGCGGAGTTTAATCATTCAAATTGTTTAAAAGTACTTTATTATTCTTTGGTTCGTTCTATCGAGGATATGGGTTTAGTGAGAAGAATGAGACTGGACAAAGAATCCTGGATTTCACAGTATTGTATGATCTAGTATTTTGTAAAATGTATAACCACAATTTCATTGAAAATAATAAATTAAAATTTTTTTTTGTTATAATTACTATGCATCGATTACATAAAATTTCTTTAATATAATTAAATAATAATTCTTTAATTTTTGTCATTTCTTGTTTATTCGTGCAATCATACATTCATAAATCAAAAATAATATTGGATTTTTTTTTACTCCTATACAAAGTTGAAAAGTTATTGATTTTGCAATTTACTATTGTGTTTTCCGTTACTTTTTCAACTATTAATAGAACAGATCCATAAAAAATACGAATAATAAAGTCTACTAATTTCAATAAGTATTTAATTTTGAACTTAAATCGGTATAACTTTTAGAAAAAGTATGAATCAAAGCAATACTTTTTGTAAAAATACCATTTATTTAAGCCTCGGTGCAAAGCTGAAAAAATATTTATTTTACTATAATGAGTTTTTATGCGCCTGTTTACTTTTTACTACTTATTCTCAGAGCTCACCAAATCTATATCTTTCATTAATACTTCAAAGGATCACAAATCGTAATCAGTCGAAGACAATACCCTGAAAAATTGAAAATATTTCCCTCTTTCCCTGTAAATTGGGGATATCCAAAAAAATTGTAAACTAAAAAATCGCTAATTTTCGAAATTTTTTCTATTTTTTTTTTCTTAAAACTGCCATAACTTTTTCAAAAATGAAAAAATCAATATAATTTTTTTTTATATAGATGCTTGATATCTTTACCTATCATTTGGTATATTTTATAAATCTATCCCTTTAACTACCAACATAGAGGTAATTCAAAATGACAACTTTTTCACAAAAAATTACTTTTTCAACTTAACTATTGAAAATGTTACGGAAATACTGTCACATTTATATATATCTTAAATTAAAGCTAATGTAATGAACTTTATTATGAAAAATAAAAAAATTCGGACTTTATTTTGTTTTTATGATGAAAACGGACATCACTGTTTATAATAAAAATTCGATGTTTGTAAAAAAATTCATTTTATATTTTTAATTTTATAATGCTATAATTTTTTGAAAAATGTATGGATCATTATAATTTTTTTGAGATAAGTACTATTATTATTCTTCTTTTTTACAACATTTTTTTTTTTTAATCGGACTATTTCCCTTTCTTCTTCTTTTTCCTCGCCTTAATTCCAACTACTTGGGGTCGGCCACGTCAACTTGTGCCGCCTTAAAACTTTTTAAATAAAGCCTATATTGTACTATGCAATCATATTAGAATGATTTTTGCTATATACATTTTTTTTCAGCCTTTATCAATGATAAAAGAAGTAGAGGAATCTAGCAGCTCCGGAGAAAATATTGAAAACTCAGATTATCCGGTAAATATTATTTTTTTTTAATTATACATTGTATTATTTAAGGTAAAAATACAGTTGCATAGAAAATAAATTAAAAAAATTTTTTGTTATATTTACAATCTAGTGTGTTTACATAAAATTTCTTTAATAAATTAAATTTAATAATACTTCAATTTTTTATACTTTCTTATTCATTCATGCAATCATACATTCATAAATGAAAAATAATATTGGATTTATTGTAACTCTTATACAAAGTTGAAAATATATTAATTTTACTATGATACTTTTGTTATATTTTCTGTTATTTTTTTCAACTTCAAATAGAACAGATGCATAAAAATTACGATTAATAAAATCTACTAATTTCAATAAGTTTTTAATTTTGAACGTAAATCGGTATAACTTTTAGAAAAAGTATGAATCAAAGCAACACTTTTTGTAAAAATACCATATGCATATGGTTCAATAACATTATAATAATCATTAGTTCAATGATATTTCAAAAAATTGTATCTAGTCGAAGACTACCCTCAAAAAATGAAAAAAAATTCACTCATTCCCCGTAAATAGAGGAAATCCACAAAAAAAAGTACAATTTTAAAAATTCGTAATTTTTGATATTTTTTTAACTTTTATAAAAATGAACAAATCAACATATTTTTTTTTATAGATATTTCTTTATATAAAAATCGCTAATTTTCGAAATTTTTAAAATTTTTTTACTTAAAATTGCCACAACTTTTTCAAAAATTTATAAATCAAATAAAATTTTTTTATAGATACATGATATCTTTACCTACCATTTAGTATATATTTTTTGCAAATCTAACTCTTTACATGTCCATAAAAAGGAGTTTCAATATAGTAATTTATCCGCCATAAATTAAATTTTGAAAATGTTCCGTAAATACTGAAACACTATATATATCTTTAATTAAAGCGTATGTAACATACTTTAATTCGAAAAAAAATTTTTAGCTCTGGACTTAGTGGTAAAAACGGACATTAAAGTTGAAGAAAAAAGTACTATTTATTTGTAAAAATTGGATAATTAAACATTTTTTAATGATTTGTTTTACTAAAGCTGACACGGTACCGTGTTTCCCTCAGCCGCACATCACGTTATCAACCTAAATGAAAGTGTATCGGAAATCTGAATCATAAGTGCACGGTGGCCTAGTGGTAAGGTTTGTCTATACGACACCTTGGTTTGAGGGTTCTGATCCCGTTCCGTGCCTCTTTTTTTCACATGATTTACGGTACACTTTCTATAACCGGCCGTCAATCCCCGGCGGCCTTGTTAAAGCTTATATAAAAGTGATTATAATAATGGTTTTTTTGTGTTAAAATATGTGATTTTATATTTTCAACTTTATATTGCTATAACTTTTTAAAGAATGTATTAATCAACGCAAATTTTTTTCTCTAAAACTTTATTTTTATTCCTTTAATTGGACATACTGTTTTTTTTTTAAATTGGATAATTTCCTTTTATTAAATATTTGAAATATACGTATAAAAAAACCCAGGAAAGGGGGGTCGCGGAACAGTGGTGACGTGGCATACTTGGATCAAGTATAATGATATCTGACAGTGATTAAAATCACTATCAAAAAAAAACGCTTCGATGCAAATCTTTAGATAGTGTTTAATTTTAAAAAATTGGTGAATTTATTCCAAAAGCTACATGATCTGCTATTTCATTATTAATATCCTAATTAAGATAAAGTATGTCGAATGAAAAAGGGATTATTAAAAAATATTATTTCTCATAAAAAAAAAATGTTGATCCATACACTTTTCAATATGTCATAGCATTATAAAGTTAAAAATATAAAAAAGAATTTTTTTACAAAAATCGTATTTATTTTATAAACTTTGATTTCTGTTTTCACCATGAAGATAAAATAAAGTCCGAAATTTTTTTTTACCATTATAAAGTATATTACATTAGCTTTAATTTAAGATATATATAAAAGTGTCAGACCTTCCGGAACACTTTCAAAATTTAAGTTGAAAAAGTTCTACTTTCTACATGCATTTTTTAGATTTGAACACCCCTCGTATAAAGGGAAATGGTCCGATTTAAAAAAACAGTATGTCAAATGAAAGATGTATATAAATACTACTACTCATGAAAAAATTGTACTGATCCATACATTTTTCAAAAAGTTATAGCATAATAAAGTTAAAATGTAAAATACAAAATCGAAAATTTTCACACAAAAATAGCATTCGGTAGCCATTTTCACCGTGAAGATAAAATAAAGTCCGAAATTTTTTTTTTGCATAATAAAGTAAATTACATTAGCTTTAATTTAAGATATATATAAAAGTGTCAGACCTTCCGGAACATTTTCAAAAGTTAAGTTGAAAAAGTTAATTTTTTGTGAAAAAGTTGTCATTTTAAATCCCCCCTTGTGGGCAGATAAAGGGTTAAATTTACAAAAAAAATATATATTAAATGATATATGATATAATATATTAAATGATAGGTAAAGACATCAAGCATCTATAAAAAAAAAATTATATTGATATGTTTATTTTTGAAAAAGTTACGACACATTTAAGTAAAAAAAATTGAAAAAATTTCGAAAATTAGCGATTTTTAAATTCGTAATTTTTTTGGAGGTTTTCCCCATTTACGGGGAACGAGGGAATTTTTTTCAATTTTTGAGGGTAATGTCTTCGACTAGATACAATTTGTGATCTTTTGACGTATCATTGAAAGAAATCGGTTCGGTGAGAGCTGAGAAAAAGTGGTAACAGACACACACAAAAAAAAAAAAAAACACATCTTAGTAAAACCAATATCTTCTCAGCTTCGCATCAAAGCTAATAAAAAATTGTTGGATTATTCCAAAAGCTACGTGATCTACTAGTTCCTTATTAATATCCTGATTAAGATAAAGTATGTCGAATGAAAAAGGGATTATTAAAAATATTATTTCTCATAGAAAAATTGTGTTGATCCATACACTTTTCAATAAGTTATAGCATTATAACATAATAAATTTATAAAGAAAATCGAAAATTTTTACACAAAAATTGCATTTGGTAGTCATTTTCACCGTAAAGACAAAATAAAGTCCAAAATTTTTTTTTATAATATTAAAGTATATTATATTAACTTTAATTTATGATATATATAAAAGTATCAGTATTTCTGGAACACTTTTAAACATTCAGTTGAAAATTTATCTTTTGAATCCCCCCTGTGGGCAGGTAAACGGTCAGATTTATAAAAAAAAAATATATCAAATAATAGGTAAAGACATCATGTATTTTTATAATTTGAACCCCCCTTGTATTAAGAGAAATGGTCCGATTTAAAAAACAAGTATGTCGAATTGAAGTGGTATATAAATATTATTTCTCATAAAAAAATTGTATTGATCCATACATTTTTCAAAGATTTATAGCGTTATAAAGTTAAAAATATGAAAAAGAATTTTTTTACAAAAATCGTATTTTTTTTAACTTTGATGACTGTTTTCACTATGAAAACAAAATGAAGTCCGAAATTTTTTTTTTAATATTAAAGTATAATACATTAGCTATAATTTAAGATATAGATAAAAGTGACAGTATTTCCGGCACACTTTCAAAAGTTAAGTTGTAAAAGTTAATTTTTTGTGAAAAAGTTGTCATTTTGAATCCCCCCTATGTCTTCGACTAGATACGATTTGTGATCTTTTGACGTATCATTGAAAGAAATATTGAGCTGAAAAAAAGTGGTAACAGACACACAAAAAAAAAAAAAAAATTAAAAAAAACACATCATAGTAAAATTAATACCTTCTCAGCTTCGCATCAAAGCTAAAAAAGAACTTTTTCAACTTTACTTTTGAAAATTTTTCAGAAATATTGCGTCCTTTAACCCTTAAACAGTCGCGTGGGGGTCTAGCAAACCCCACATAAGTAAAAACGGATGTATTATATTGCATAAAAGGTGTACATAGATATAAATTTAGAAGATAGTTTTTATAGTAATATTGAATAGATTTTCTTAAATAAATACCTTCGAAAAAAAAATGTATAACTTAAAGTATCCATCAAAGTTGAAATGGGTCATATTGACCCCCACGCGACTTGTAACGTTATAATTTTTTTTTGGACTTGTATTTTTTTCAAAATATTGTTTTGTCATAAATTCAATGTTATAATCGATATAATATTTTGGAATTGGGATTATGTGGATCTGCCACCGACAGTGCAATTAAGTTTTAAAAATAAATAATCTATTGAGAATTTCCACTACTCGATCATATGAAATAAATACGAACAAAATATGTAATAAATACATCCCATCGCAATGTGGACACATTGTTTATCGGTGCCTCATTTACAATTACCACTATTCACAATTACCCCTCCTGACCCTACCTGTATTATAATAATTAAATTGTATTGTAATATTAATAATAAAAAAATTCTATTCAGAAAATGATTATGTAAATGTAAATACACATAAAACTAATAAATATAAGCCGTGTTTGAGCTCAAAGAAATACAAGAAAAATTAATAAAAATACATTTTGTAATAGTAAAAGCTTTTATTTACCGTCTTAAAAATAAGATTTTGCAGTTAAAATAATTTTTTTACAAACCAAAATTTTTTAATGACATTTTGAAAATTAAATTTTTTTTTTTATTTCGTAATATAATTTTTAGAAAAATGCACATAATTTTGTAATTTATTTATTTTTTAATTTTTATCCATATTTATATATCATAAGGTTACAAATAATGTCTTTGAATTAAAAAAAATGAACTTTTTTATACATATTTTATACTTTTTTAGAAATGGGGTCTAATAGACCCCCACGCGACTATGAACGTTAAAAATAGGTACGCGCCTGCTTAAGGGTTAAACATATGTTAAATTAAAGATTAATTAAGCTTAAAAGTTAAACATTGTTTAATTATAAACTAGCGTGAAAATTAAATCTAAATGACCAAAAAAATAGATTAAAAATGACAATTTATATATAATATTATAATTTATATATAATAATTATAAATCAAATAAGTAATCGGGATAAAATTAAGGGAATAGTTTTTAGTTTTAGTTATTATAGAGGTGGACAGAATTCCCATGCACTTAACCTGTTGGTCCATTGTGCACACTTCATACCGAATTGTCTACAAAAAATTGTAGATTTGAAATCAATAATGAGTTTAAACAAATATTTGATAGTAATTTGATGAAAATTCCTGGTAGACTAGTGTATTTATTCATAATTAACAAAAAAATATTTTCTAAAAAGTTTTGGATCAGGTCCTTCGATACAGGTTTGCAACGAAATATACAATTTCTTTATAATTTTTCATAAAAATATCACTATTAAATTATTGGCTATCAATTTAATACTAAATTTTAACTACTATAATAAGTATTTATCTCTATATTATACTAATAAGCCAAAGAACCATTAATCAGAATATAATAAAATAAATAGGAGTTGATGTTGCTTTTGGAATAATTCAACAATTCCTTTTAACAATTAAACACTATCTACAGATTTGCATCGAAGCGTTTCTTATGATAGTGATTTTATTCACTATTAGATATCATCTTGTATCTTGTATACTTGTCCCAACTATGCTACGTCCACAGTGTACTACTTTTTTTTTGATATATTGTTTATGGATGTCCAACCAGTGCCCTTGTTAGGAAAGGGATTTAAAATAGCAAAATGTGCATACTAAGTGATTTTTTTGATATGACTTTTCATAATGTTTCGGAAATTATGGGATCTTAAGACTCGTACTTAAATAAAGTCTATATTGCATTATTATATGATCATTTTAGAATGATTTTTGTTTTATAATTTTTTTTTTTTTTAGAATTTAACTCCCCAGGATAGAGAAGAATGTATAATCCAATTTAATGACAGAGGTTGTATTGATCGAAACAATCTCATAGAATTATTAAATAATATTTCATCGGTTAATAAAAAATTAAAAACACAGGTTTCTACACAAATTATGAATATGCCAGGTAAATATGTATATGTTTTATGTCAATGAACACAGTAAATTACACTTGTTACTAAAATTAAGATTAATTTATTTTAAAACCTGATTTTCTTTTTTTTTTGAAGTATTCGAATTTATACAGAGTAAGACACTTATTTTCTCAAAAACTATCGGAAATTTTTTAGTGTTCGTAAAGATTTTGTTGAAAAAACTTTACAATACTATGTGGTTAAATATATTTTTATTTCATCCCTTCGAAGTTAAAAAACCTTTAATTTAATTTTATCGAATGGGAACGCCTATTATTAAATTGTTCAACTTCAAACAATTTTATTCTTACAATGTCATCGGTCCCATGTGCCGTTTATCGGTTACAGTATTTTAATTCTATATTTTGTTGATTAGATTAGTAGTTGTAGTTATAATTTGCTTATGACTTAAAAAAGTATAACGCTTGTCTTGAATGTAAAAATGACGTTTCCAGTTTACAAAAAATGTCATGTATAAATTTTAGTAGTCGATTTTAACTTACAGAATAGCACTATATATAACTTCGTGAATAATTTTCAAATTCTTTTTTTACTTAATACATGATACTTTGTTATAATAATACAATCTACTAAAGGATTATAGTACTCTTAACTTATAAAATGGCATATTTTTATCTGATATAATACTTATTTGTTATATTAAGCACTTCTATAGAATTTAAATTAATATCGTAACATAAAATATTAAATAATATTTCATTAATTTAACAAAATTTATTTTTAGAAACCAAACGTTTTAGTCTATCAGATGTGTTTAAATATTTAAATCTTCATAAAGAAAAATCTCCTTTTTATTTATCAAAATTATTTTTATGCAGAAGTTTAAAAAACATAATAGACTAAAAATTATTGTTAAGACAGCATGCAACTCAAAGACAACACCATGGAATATTATGAATTAGAAATAAATTTTAGTTGTTACAATTTAATCTTATTTAATAAGATTAATTAAACTAAATATAAAATGTAGTACTTATAATTAAAAAATGATACATTTTAGTTTTGTGTAAAGAATAAAATTTAAAAAAATAAAACAAATATAGTATTGTTCATCATTACTATTATTAGTAAATTTTATTTAACACTTGTAGCTAAAATCGTGGGATTGGCATGATACTCTCTATCGTTAGATGTGTTAGAGGTTTGTTTAATACTTGAGGATCTTGATAAAAACCAAAAATCGAATGCTACCTGATATATACCCAAATAATGTCCTTATCTCTTTAAATGAGTTATACCTGAAGGATAGACTGACAATTGTGTTCCTTATTTACTACTGAGAGATTATACACGATAAACACTATCGTGAAATGAAAATTATAAACTGTTATATAATTATATTTACTTTTGTGTGAATTTGCTTGGATACCAAATTAGTGCACTTAACGTAAATAATTTTGAACGAATCACGGCGTTTTTTGTGTTTTGAAGAGCAATTGAAAATTTTAAAATCCTCGTAAAAAACGTACCAATTATCTGTATACAGACCTTACCGTCGTATATTGAATCATTTTCGGCAGACAAAAATCACGATATGTTTACCAACACCGTATTGGCCACCGATCGGTCAGAAACATTCAATGCTAAAGTGCCTTACGGTGCAAAATTACTAACCATGAGTTCAAACGGATCTTACGCGGACATGATTGCTACCAAACCGGAATATATCGCCAACACTGATACGATTATGAAATCAAAGATGGCAAAGATGGCTACCGGACTGATAAAAAACAACCGAAACAGTACTACCGATTGTGACTTTACGCTTACAAAAGTCAAACGGCTTTCACAGGACACCCCATATTTTTGTATGTCCAAAAAACCAAAGCTTACTACGACTACCGACAACTATGCGACAAAAAAATTATGTAAACGCCTGACGAAGACATCGATACCATCGATTTCCCTCGTCAAGAAAACACCACCTCGAGTAGACAATCCGAGTACAATGATTGAAACAATCGACATAGATTCGGCCGAGAGCAAAAACGATAGTTCCTCCTTAGACGGTAAACGACTAGTCCATTAACTAGAATTAAATAAACGGCATTATTAGATAATATTTGAAAAAAGATAAATAATATTTTTTTAATTATAAACCGAAAAACTATGCGATCAGTTGGATTTAAAAAATAAATAATTTTGATTGCAGACGTGCCGCGAGATTTGAACGAGAAAAACAAGAAACCGCCTTCATACGATTCATTTCTCACTCGCACGACGTGGTACAGCGGCGACACGATCAACGCGTATTTAAGTCTAATTGCATCGCGTTCGCCAGGCAAAGTGCACTACCTGATCACCGATTTTATGGAGGTGCTTTCTCGACGGGGATACGCTGGCGTGAAAAGATGGATCAAAATCGATATACACTCGTTAAGACTCTTGTTGGTGCCGATGCACGTGAACGGCAACCATTGGACCATGTCTGTGGTCGATGTACCCAAAAAGACCATAACGTTTTTTGACAGCCACAACTCCTACAATGGTCCCTACCCATCGTTATTGAGACGATTTCTTATTGACTGGGTGATCGAAAACTACGGATATTCTTCCCAGTGGATTTTATGCTACGGAAAAGCGGTGCAACAACGCAACGGTTATAATTGCGGACCGTTCTCTTTGGAGCTAGCCGAGAGGATGTCCAGAAACGACGACACGCCGATCAACCCCTTCACAATGCCTTTTATCCGGTTAAGGCATAAATATGAACTAGAAGCCGGCACGTTGTTCCAATTTTGACGTATATTTGTGATCATCAAGATTCAATTTTACCGATCACGGCCTTATTTGACCTCCGTTAAACGACCTACTCGTCAAAACTCATTAAAACATGTAATCTTATAACTCTATTTTTCTGCCCCAGTCGTTATACTTATAATTAGAACTATCGTTTTTAATTGGATTACATGCTGGGGAGGCCTTTTTTTCAAATTGAAAACGTGTTTTTTACTATATTCAATGTGCAACGTTGAGTTTTTAATATTGTATTAACATCGGTTCGATTTCGTAAGAAATGTTTTACATTTTGTAACTTTTTTATACAATTTTTGTACTATAATTTTATGATAGTAATTCTTTTGTATTTACAAACAATTTTATTTATTTTTTTTGTTATTTTATATTTATATTAGGGTTGACATTTTATTTGTTTTCTTATGTAGAATTTTTCTTTTTAATTTAAACTAATATCGATTGTATATTTAAAATGTGATTTATTATTATCAATTTTTGTGTATAATTATTTAAATAAAACTATTATAATGACTATAACTAATTATAAGTTAAGATATAATTTTTTGGATAACTAAATTGTGTAACTTCAATATTCCATTGGTATAATAAATGTGCCTTTTATATAAAATAATATTTATTGCAATTCAATACCCAAGTAAAGCCGCCCAATGAGATAATTGTTTTCTAAATATTGATAATATATTCGAAAAAATGAATAAACTTCTAAAAAGTATTTTTGCTGCCATGGGCATAGTGTAAACATTTGCAGTTTTAAATAATTATTTTGTTATTTTTCTTGTTAAGCGCACTGGCAAGTAGAATTTTCAGCCACAATATCAATGTTCAAAACTCTTAAATTTCTTTATGAAACTACGATATCTTAATGTTTAAAAGTAAGGGATGTTATTAATGAAATATATATTAGTTTATTGATAAAATTTCGGAATAAATTTAATGGATATACGACGCAGTCGAATTACTTTTTCAAACATGCGCATGGACTTAAAAAAGAATGTTATCTCACTTTTGATCAGATAATAAAATATTTTAACAGCTTTTACATTTGACCAAATCTGTAGAAGATTTTGTACTTTATTTCGCATATATAAACTATATTATTCTAAATAATAAATTATATTTATGATTTCACATAGCAAGAAAGACGTTTTTCCTCTTAAAGAGTACATCCTCAAAAAATACATTCATGTAATGAATCTGTAGTAATTATTTCAGCTGGAAAATTCTCTGTGTAATTATTAAATTTAAATGTCATTTATTTTTAAATCATTCATCGATGAAATAAAATTTTTTATACTACAAAAATGATTTTTTAGAGAAAAACCATGTGTTCCTGTTGTTAGGTGTACAGAGAAATACAAAGTTAAACCTTTTGAAGAGAGTTTAAAGAGTGACATAGAAAATAATATACTATTCAAAAGTAATACACACATTAATAGTATATTTACAGTGCCGGATCCTAAACTCTAAGGCCTCAGTGCGAAAACAATTTGAGGGCCCCTAATTTAATGATGTTATAAAAAAAGTCACGAGTATATAACTCTATAGTTACAAAATAATGGAGTACAAAGTACAATAAAATTAATTATATATTATTATGTAAAGAATAAAGCCAACCATCAATATAAAAATGAAAAGTAAAATGTTAACATGTTCTATATTAGGAAATATTTAGCTTCGATGCGAAACTGAGAAAGTATGAATTATACTATGGTTTTTTTAAAATTTTTTTTTGTGTCTGGTATCAATCTCAGCTCTCACTGAACCTATTTTTTTTAACAATACGTCAAAAGATCATAAATTGTTTCTAGTTAAAAATATTACCCTCAAAAATTAAAAAAATTACCTTCTTTTTCGTAAATGGAGAAATCCACCAAAAAATTACAATTTTAAAATTCGGTATATTTCGACATTTTTTCAATTTTTTTTTATTTTAACACTACTATAACTTTTTAAAAAATGACCGAATCAATATAATTTTTTTTTATAGATACCTTAGGTATATACCTATCATTTGCTCTATTTTTGTGAACATTTGACCCTTTACCAGCTCTCAGGAAGGATTTCAAAATGGCAACTTTTTTACAAAATATTAACTTTTTCAACTTAACTTTTGAAAATGTTCATGAAAGGCTGACACTTTTATATATACCTTAAATTAAAGCTTATGTAATATACTTTAATTTGATAAAAAAATTTGACTACTGGACTTGTCTTCATAGTGAAAATGACTGCCGTGTTCAAAAATATGCTATTTTTGTAAAAAAAAACCTTGATATTATATTTAACATTTTTTAACATTATATTGCTATAAATTTTTGATAAATGCATGAATCAATTCTATTCTTTAATGATAAATTATTTATATATACCTCTTTCATTCGACATACTTTTTTTTTAAATAAGGGTTTCAATTTAATTTTTGAAAGTGTTCCAGAAATACTGACACTTTTATACATATTTCTTAAATTAAAACTTATGTAATATACCTTAATCTGAAAAATAAAAATGGTCGTCTGGATTTGTCTTCATGGTGAAAATGACAGTAATTTGTTCAGTAATTTTTAATTTATAATCGGAGAAGTTTGATTTCAGTAAAGTAACGTTAAAGTGATATAATTAATCATCGTAGATTTTAATTTGAAGACTATTATCAGTTAAAAGTAAGTTTTTCAATAATTCATACTAGAATACAGCATTGAATATTTTATAATGTTGTGTATATTATATATTATAGATGAATATGATAGATAAAGATTGGTTGAATGGTAAGCAAAATAAACGTAGAATGTGTGTATCCGACCTTAAAATAGGAGTAAAATATAAGGTTCTAGGATTATATGTGGTAAAATCAAAATACTCGAATGAGACTCCAGTGGCTGAAGTAAAACTTAATGATGAACCATCATTTCAAGTTTATTTACCCGCAAGATTTTTATTAACTCGTGAAGATTTAAACAAAGGAATCGATGTAAATCATAAGCTTGTATTTAACGGAAAAAAGGAGAAGAGCTCTAGTTACGATGTAATGTTTTTATAAATAATTAATTTTAAATTAAAATATGTATTTAAATAAATATCGTATTCGATTAAAACAATATTATTGTTTGTATAATTAATATTCAATAAATTACTCTCATATCTATATATTAAAATAATGAAACAAGTGTTTTAATTACTGTGAAAAATAAAGTCCTGATCATGGTGCGAATAAATTGCGTGAGAAATCTGTAGAAATTAGAAACTCGAGATTATATAATGCAACATCTCGTCTACAAACAAAATAATGAAAAATTTTATACATAGATTTAAATTCTGTTAAATTATATAAGTAAAAGTGCTTTTATATACAATTTTGTAAAATAAAATGCAACTGTATCATTTAAACATATAGCTAAGTTTCTGCGAAATTCATCGGTGTCTAGGGAGGTGAATTGTATAGTATAAAAACTTCTAACATATACAAAACAAAAACCGGTAAAATTGTTAAGTCCCGACTTAATATCACTTATCTATTGGTTCGATATCATCTACCCTTTTTATTTTATAAATTAAAAATCATCGACATAATGACGTTCTCATATAATGTTTGTAATAAAATTTTTAGCTTTTCTAAGGATTTGAAATGACATAACTAGTGTACACAACAAAATTTTGTATGGATGTGTTTAATGTAACAAGAAATTCACGAGAAAGGATAATTTTAAAAGACATGTTCAGCAAATACATTCATTGAAAGGTTAGTAAATAATATACTATTTTTACTCATTCTATTTCATAAAATTTTAATGATTTGATAAAGTGTATATATATATATATATATATATATATATATTGACACGGCACCGCCTTTTGCTCTAGGCTGGCGCTCACCCGTGTCTCTCTCGATATCAGCTATTAATATGACAATCGGTTGTCTCCTCGCCCTTGACACTGAGATAAGGCTGCCGCCGAATAAGGATTACTGATGTTGCGTTCTGTTTCGTTTTCGACGTACACCTCATCTGGTGTGTTTTTTGCTGTACCGTTTACGACGTAGACCCTAACTGGTTCGTTGCGTTTTTGTGAGCATTTTCTTTATCTTTTTTGTGTCGTTTTCGGTTGTGAAAGTTGTGTTTGCAAGCATATCTGATTGTTCGTGCGATTAGCTACACGTAAATACATACATATTAATTGTTTTTGTTTCCGTGGTGTCGGATTATATATATATATATATATATATATATATATATATCTTTTTATATATATATTTATATATACGTCACTTACGTGTGCTCAACGATATTGGATTACGCGTCAATATAAATATAATTTATAAATAAATATATATTATTTGATAGAAACAGATAATGTGATGCAAATGTTCATTGAAAATTTTAGCAACATTACAAAATCTAAAAGTGAGTATAAAACTTTTTTATATTCTTATATTCTGTGGTTAATAAAATAAAATTTGAATACAGGTGATCAAAAAAACGATGTCAATTATGGCGCGAGCACTTTCAAAAACATTCATGAAAACTGTACGGACACATTTTAAAATTTATTATTTTTATTTGATTCGATTATATTGTTTTAATATAGGCAGTGAAATCAATTTTATAAACTATATAGAAAACGAAAAAAAAATCAAGTATGATGATAATAATTTTTTAAACATTAATGGTAGTAACGATGAACTCTGTTTAAGATTGTAAAATATTTTAAATGTTATAATATTTTTATTATTAATATTATAATTTATATTATTGAAATAGTAATAGAATTAACATAAAAAAAAATTAAGAACACAGGCAACTATTTTTCCGACGGTAAAGACAGTGACGACGAAACTCCAATTTATTCAATCTCGTGATGTGGATAAGAATAAGACCGAATCCTATCCACATTATAATACAGTGTTAAATACTAGTGAATTTTACACACCTATATCTCTAACAGATATAAAAAATTTGAAAAGAAAAATAATTTAAGTATAAAAGTGTACTTATGTGAACGGAAAAATTGCGGGTTGGGTTTATCATTTATGTGTGGAATGCGGTGAGCAGTCTTGATTCCTCGATTAAACTGACTTGCCAATAACCAGACTTTAGGTCAATGGTGCTGAAAACATTAGCACCACCCATTCCACGGACCATTTCATGCAAGTCAGGCATTGGGTGTGTGTCGGATTTTATTTGGAGATTCAGTCTCCGGTAATCCACGCATAATCGCTGGGATCCATCCTTTTCATCTNGTTCACCGATAACTAACCGTGAGGTTATCACCGATGAAGCACATAAACCCAAACGAAGTTGGATTCACCACTAGCCGAGGCTCTACCAGACCGGAGCATAGTGGAATTTTAAATGTAACTGACACATTTGTTGTTTTAATTTACTAAGTTTTTACCTTAACTCTAGGGGAAAAGGAATTAAAAACTGGTAGACAAGTAGTATAGGCGATGATGTTCTATTTTATATACTGAGTTTAACTAAAATAATAATGCCCAAAGTACAATAAAATAAATG